CAGCGTGGCGAACTGGATGTACGAGGGCTTTTTCGGATGGCTGTAGTCATGTTTATGGCTTAGGTTGTCGGGGTCCTTGGCGACGGTTGTGTCCAGAAGTAGAGAGGTCTCTTTTGACGGAGTGGAGCTGGAGATTGGCCTCGCTGCTTGTGCCCGCACATCTGACTCAGTACAGTTCAGAGGCTGTGGCTCTGTTGAGGAGTGCATGGCTGCGGATGTGCTTTCTGTCACGGAGATAAGCGTTGATAGCTCCGCGCACCTTGGGCACTGCTTGCATGTGAAATTTGCCTCCTCCCAATGCCTTCGGTGGGCGAGAGGCCTGTGATGGTCGAATAAAAACTGCTATCCGGAGACGCAGCTGGTTTTGTCGGCCTGCTTTTGGGAGCACAATGGGATATGGCCACAATGGGCTTGGTCATGAGTTTACGGTCGGCTGAATTGGTGCCCAGCGGAAGCCTGTTTCGTGCCTCCACCCCTGACCTGTTATGACCAAGCTTTCGCGCGTCCAGAGGGCGATCCTCAGATAAAGGTCTGATCATTGGGTTGGCCTTCTCAGTGCTGCCAGCCCGATCGAAGTTCTTCTGTGCGTCAGCTTAGGAAGAAATGTGACGAGAAGTCCAAGAGTTCACTTGCTTCCCTTTTGGCGTAACCATTCTGCGTGGAGCGATTGACCAAGCTTGGTAAAGACTCTGATAAAGATTGACTGTGCCAGCTTCGCTGGCGTGATTCTTCCAGAGAATGACCCCCAGTTTATCAATCTGCTTTCCCTTAGGCGCCTGTGTACTAAAGACGCTGTGGCGGTCATTATAGCCGCGTCAGATAATTGTGTTAATTTCTTCGCAGCCAGAGGACCCGGTATGGATATCTCAAGGTACTCGTTCAGCGAAGAAATTTCCTAGTCAACTTTCGTCCAAGTTGCTGAACTTTCGGTGTCTGAGTCCTCCATTGCCTTTGAAAGACGCCCCAATTTCGCGTCGCGTATCCCGATCAAAGCGGGACACTGACATCGGTCTTTCGGAATCTGCAAAGGAGATTGGGTACCGTTTTTGGGGGCTCTCCTCTTGGCGGCGGTATGATTTGCACCCTTAACGTAGAGGCAGCAGGCGCAGACAAACGGGTCAGGAGAGTTAGCTAGTCGGCTTATCTGGTCGTCCTGTAAACCCGTGCATTTAAAGTGCCACCAGGCCTGGCAGGTGTGGCATTGCATACCGCGTTTGACGTTCGACGGGCAGCCATTTCGCCCAAATCTGTTGTGGTCTATCAATGGCTGCAGAGGGCAATCGGTATAAATTGATGTCATATTTAGAACTAGATGTAAAATAGGAAGCGCGCGCAAAATATCAAGGGTCGTCTCTCAGATGTTTTGTTAGAGTAATAAAATCCAACAATTACTCGTGTGTACTCTGTGAGTAGACTGAAAAACGAAAAAAAATATTTCACAGATTTGCACGATGGAAAAACGAAACCGATTTCGAACGTACCGCGCAATACACTTTATGTACCTCTACTGGTTGGTTTGACGTGAACGGTAGCTTAGAAGGTTCAGACCGAGAACTAAACTGAGGAAAATGCTATTACTACAACTGGTTTGTTGTTCTGACTCATGGTGTACTATTGGATACTGTAAACGGGAGTAGTCTTTCATGGGACAGCCACAAAATCTACATGCATGTGCATGAAACTCACTGTCAGATTGCAATCCGTTTTTCCGGTGAACCCACTTAATCACAATAATGAGTCAGAATATGGTATGTTGTTATCCGCTGAGCTACCTGTGGAACACAACAGGTGTGAACGAAATGGATGTCCATCAATTGTAGGACGTAAAATGATGCGTCATGCCTGCCAGGTCTGGTGGCACTTTAAGTGTACTGGTTCGTAGAATGACATATCCCGATTATCTAACTCTGTTTACCGCTGTCTGCGCCTGCCGAGTCTACCTTTGGATGCTATGCACTCCACGTGTAGAGAGATGGTTGTCAACAATGAACCCGAACCCCCACCTCGAAGTCTGAGAATCACTGCTGATATTCCATTTAAAACAGATTTCTGACTGCAAAGATTGTGATCCAGCTCTATGACGCTGAGATAGAAACCAGCACGGCGCCCCTGGTGGGCAGGTACATGAGGGTATCCGGGATGACCATATGAGGGTCCTCTTTCAGAACAAGCACGGCACTCCTTGGTGGGCTGTATATATGTGGTCTATATATGTGGCCTGAATACGCATAACTTCGAGAGGAATGGTTACACGAACAGGGAGGCAAGCGAACATTTGTGACTCTAAAAACACTTTCCTCCTCCACCGCCGCATATAAAACCTTAAAGCGAGTTGTCAATATTCGAATGGAATTCCAAAAAATCAAGCATATATCCGAGGATGGCAGGCGTGAAAATTTGGTCACAGTGGTCCTATTGAGGGGACGTGGAACAATTTTCCGCTTGAAGACAGATCAGCTGACCCCAAACTATGACCAAACTGGCGGCAATTAGGGGCAAGCTAGTTCTTAAAACCACGCCAATACAACTGACCGCGACCCGTATGGCAGCTCCTACTCAACGGTTGCACACTTCTTGTCCACTAATGAAGGCGATGCTCGGGGTGAATCGGGCATCAGGAGGACGCAGAACCAAACACACGTGGATTCATCTTCTCTTATTTCCTTGGTGGACGATAAATGGACGGCGATCAACTTCACACCCAGGTCACAAGCTAAACCGAGATTCGCTCAGCTGCGCAGAACCACTTACAAATTCCACCGACAGGTCAGCATCAGGCGTTGACCTCGTCATCGTGTACCGCTGCGATAGCCCCACAACCAATGAAATTGAGAAACAGCGAGCCTCCAGCTAAACGCCATCAAAAATGGCCATTCTGATGGTAGATTCAATCCGCACTATTGACGCCGTAAGCCAAAGCCACAAGTCCGACAATGGTGTACCGAAACATTCCATGTGCACGGAGTTTTCCAAGCTGATCAAAAACGGTTGAAGGGTCATACAAACACAAAAGTAAATCGACCGCGGCCGAATGAGCCAAGAGGACTAGTCCCGATCCAAAAGCCGTTTACTGGATTCCAGTCCGTCTAGAACGAACCCCTTGTGAGTGCCACAAGAAGGAATGTTCATCGATTCTGTCATCCACTGCAAAAGCGACTTAATTGTCTCTCAGAAATACGTTTACGATAATACCGCACCTGAACGCCATCGAAAAGAAATGTACGCGTGTTCACCGGCAAAACTTGGGCAACAGCCAATCCAGGCTTCCGAAAGTTGACATTACTCGAGCTACAAGCAACAATCAGCGAAATTTTAGGCCACGAGTGAAAACGACGTCCCCGCGAGATGAAGGGCCCGCACTAACCGCGAGCGGAGATTCGAATTTTCTGCCGTTCAGACGTCTTAAAAATCGATATCTCCTCGAAAAACTTAAAAGTCGCACCAGCTCCCATGGAGAAAATATCAAAGACAATTACACAAAAAATATTCCCGCGACTGGCGCCGTGTTCCACCACGTAGGCGAACGGACCAAAAGCCACCTCAAATTATTTGGCGTCCTTTCTAAACGAGGTCCCAGCTTTTCTACAAAAAATTTACCATAAGAACCAAAGGGCACGAGCTGGCATGGAGATCCTTTCTACAAAAAATTTACCACAAGAACCAAAGGGCACGAGCTGGCATGGAGAACCTGTATCTTACAGAACTGCCAATGCAAAAACGCGATATGTACGTGGGCACTATGTATGTCTACTCAGGACGCAAGAACGACGTAACCCTCATTGAGCATATCCGACGGGCGGCCTTGAGAATGGCTGCTGACCATAAACTCTTTGATTATGAAACGTGTCTCGTGGTGCCTGATTGCCTTTTTCCAGGGCATCGCCGCCTCCAAAGAGACCCATTACTTCAACAAGGTTTGGACAGCAGGTTTTTCACCGTTGACCCAGCTAACATACGGCAGGGACATGGTGAGTTGATCTTCAAGCCCCGAGAGCACACCTTTATTGGGAAATAATTTTCTCGTTTCATGCGATTTGTGCGTGGAATAAACTTCCTCCAACGATTGTTCACGTTGCATCTAGTACCCAGTTCAGAACGCTTGGGGAAACATTTTTATCTGAGTCCTTGATCTGACGGGCTTAACGTCCGATTCCGAAATTTTGAGGAGCAGTGGCGCCCCGCCTGTCTTTCAGTAATATGGCAGCGGATATCCGACAAGAGAAAGCCAGAACCAGGATGCATGGTCAAAGCCTCGATGTTGCGTGTAAACCTGTGAAGCATATTAAAAAACGTTGGCTGCCCAGGGGGTTATTTGGGCTCCGAATAGGTAATACAGAGTGGCACTGCGGTTTTCCGAGGTTTTGGGTGTGTAACCAACGGGTGGTTGCTGTCGTCAATTCTTCCAATGTTCATGTTCACCGGAAATACCACGTACCAGAAAAGATAACGTTTAATTATTCTCTGCAGGATGACTATATAGTTAAGATTTTATTAAACTAACATTCCAGGAACATCACTCAAGAAATTGATCTAATTGAACTCCTTCATAGGTTCTTTGAAGGACAAAGCTACGAACCCGTCAGTCTCGGAGAGGCCACTTTCAAGTATCAAACGAAAATGGTCTTTCCTAATGTGCTTTTCCTGGAGCGGTGTAGCTGCTGAATTACGCCTTGTTTGGTTGACGTCCAGTCTTTCCAAGCGTGAACAGAGGAAGTTAGACCAAGACTCCACCCT